AAAATTAGGCTCTCGTTTAAAATTTTAATATTTATTACAGTAACCAAGATGGCGTCTCTAGCTGATTTGTATTGATGTACACTTTTAATGAATGAATCGTCAGTCTAGGTATTATTATATGTCATTGGGAGCGATAGTATATATTTTTGGAGCTCGCCCTCAAACCCCGTTTTGGGTCCCTTCTATAAAAAAAAATATTATTGATTTATCGGCGCTGGCTAAACAATTTGAAGTATACTAATTCTAAAATATGATGATTTGAACTTTATTAATATCTTAATTTAACTAGTATAGTAGACAGCTTAAATGGAAAAATTATTAATAACAAAATTTTGGCCCATACTACAATTAAAGTGATTGAAAGGATAATTCTTAAAATTTTTCTCAATTGTAAATTAGATTAATACGTTTGGTAGACACTAGAACAAAAAAAAAATAGGCATTATGCTAGAATGGAAAATAAATAAATAAAAAACTATATATCTGTCGTACGCTAATATTCAGTTGCCTGACTAGTACTTCCTCAGTCAAATATAGAACCACAAAAACAGAAACTATATGGGGGGGGGGTTGAACCCCAAACTAACCCACCCCCTTGTCAGCGTCACTGCTTAAAATAAGGGCTTCAAATAATATTTACTTCTTTTTGCATATATGTTTTGCAGTTAAAGGGATTGTGATTGAAAGACGAATAAATGTTAAATTATTCGAATTCATTATCCCTTCCTTTCTCCTCATACATTGCCTATTGCAGTGGCGTCACTAGAGGAATACTTTCTCCTCATACATTGCCCATTCCAGTAGCGTCACTAGTGGGAGGTGCGCCTGGTCTCGAGCCCCCTGAAAAAAAAACACTCTAAGATTGTAAAGACTAATGACGCCCCTGAACCTCTTCATTCTTAATTGCCACAGGAATAAATCATTTTTGTTAAAAATTCTATCCTCGTTATAATAAAAAGCCTCGAAATGATTCAAACAAAGATGATCCCATTTAATTTGAGCTTCGATGATTAGCAACCCGATGAATCAAATTATTTATCATTATATTCCCCTCCAGAGTTCCAAAAGCCAATACATCGATAGAGAAATTATTTTAATTTTTTTAAAAAAAATAATATATATAACCCAAATGACATGTAATACTACCTAGAATGAGGATGTATTCATAATGTTGCATATGAAAGCGTGGGTTGAATAATTCTGTTGGACCCGTCATTTTGGTAGCCCATATGGTAATAATTCTCACGTTAAAAACTACTATTAAATTGATTACTTGCTTCCTCATTATCTCGGTGAATCAGGCAATTCTTTAATAAAGTTTGCGTCAGACATAGGAATAAATTGGCTTCCCGTTTAAAATTTTTAACGATATGGGTAATCAAAATGGCGTCCCCAGCTGTTTTTATCGATGTACACCTTTTAATGGATGCATCGTCAGTCTGTGTATTATTATATGTCGTTGATATAACCCCGCTCAAAGAATCGCAAAAAGTGCACACTATCCTAATAATGGGTCCGTGTCCCACCCTATGCGCAAAATGGCGATTTTAAGTTTGAAATGATATATAACGAGGTAGAATGCGATATAATACTTATTATTAGAGGATTTATAACCGGCCAAAAATTTTTGGACAGGGGTTCGAGGCCCCCGTTCTGTAATAATTATGAAGGTGAAAATAGATAAAAACTGCAAGCCAGCAGTGTGTCGAAACGGCGGGGGCTAACATTGTATTAAACGGCCCGTTTTGAGCCGATTTTTAAAAACGGCTAACTCACTATTTTATCCATAAAAAAAAATATAACGTAAGCCCGAATATTTCTCCCATGCACAAAGGTTTAGACATCTAAAAATTTTTTTTGATTATATGAAATCTCGCCCTAATTTTTGTTCTTGAATCTTAAGAATTCTAATCAGGATAGCAGCCCTGGGATAAGATTTTTGTTTTAATTATATTTTTTTGACATCAAGCGCCGAAAATGCTTAAAGATAGGTTTAAAGATGGAATTTATTCCTTATTTTTGTGCTACTTGTCAAAGACGTTTATATTGTAAGAAAAGTTATTTATAATTTTAACAACACACATAAAAGACGATTAATTTGTTAATCAAAATTGTAAAATCATATTAAATGACAATTATATGAAATGTATTATTGTATTGATAGTATGTAAATTTTAGCGTTTAGAGTTCGCATAAATAAGTGAGATCAAGAATGTAATAATGGAAGAAAAGGGTTATAAAAAGATTTATAATTTTTTTTTACTTTAGTTTTATTTAATTTAATTTTATATTTGAGTAACTATATATTTTAATAAATTAATTTTCTATCTTCAATTCTCGATCTGAATAATTTGTAATTAAATTTTAAAATGGGAAAGAATTTCTCTCTCGTTCAAAACTTCGTATTTTACAAATATATGAATTGAACCTTGTTCCAAAGACCGATCGCCACGGTTCAACCCAAACTATGGTCAAACCCGAGGAACAGCTGAGCTTTGCTAGATTAGTTAATCTTTACCTTTTTTGGAAAGGTTAGGAAAGAATATTTTATATTTATTGATTTTACTTTATAAGTAGAGATCTGCGAATCACGGCCCAAAGACCGATCGCCACGGTTCAACCCAAACTATGGTCAAACCCGAGGAACAGCTGAGCTTCGCTAGATTAGTTAATCTTTACTTTTTTGGAAAGGTTAGGAAAGATTATTTTATATTTATTGATTTTACTTTATAAGTAAAGATCTGCGGATCACGGCCGGTTAGGGTCTATTTTTAAAAAATAATTTCGGGCCGGGTCGGACTTATTTTTAAATATGATATCATTATATTTTGTCAAATAAATTTTTCTGTAATTTAAATAAATTCCGACCGGGCCGTCAAATAATTTTTATTCTGGATCGGCTCGGGCTTTTCTGGACAAATGTCCGGGTTGGGCCGGGCTCGAAAAATTAGCCCCGATTGGAAAGCGCTCATTTTATAGTTTTATTTATTTTCGATACACTTTTTTTTTAAAAATAAAAGTATCCCGATCCCTATAACAACTTTCTGGTGTATACCCTATAAAATTTAAGCCCCGTTTGCGAGCATGCCTAACTGCGCAAAGTCACTAGTATACCTAATATATGGTATTATCGATAGTATAATATATTAATATAAAACCCGGCCGAAGGCCCTCAAAAATAGGAGATATATGAGGCTTCTCCCCTCCCCACCCCCCCCCCCCCTCAATTTTTTTTATTTGAGCCAGTCCCCTAAGATTGTAAAGGTTAGTGAGGCCCCTGAGTGACATTTACATGGTAATTTGGTTTGTGGATCTATAATAAATTTAGCCATTGGGGAAAAGGTTACTGATAAAAGAATCTGGCTAACTTGGCTATTGGAAAAAAAGGTTATTTATAAAAGAATTAATATCAATGTATAACTATATATTTTTATGTTAAGGATTTTGCCACAGCCCAGCCAAAAACTTAACACTCACCAAAAAAAAAATGCTTCTTTTTGAAAAAAAAAAAAACCTTACACGAAAAAGGTGCTATCATCAAATTTTTTTTTTTTTACCCATTTAAAATGATACAAGCTTGGAAGAACACTATATATGTTTTGATTACTTTATATTACTAAAAATGGTAGGTGGCATTATACTAAAAGTTAGCACAGCCCATCTCGGTCCAGACCCCCACAACTTATTGAATAAATTTAGTCTTTTTTCCTTTATAAAAAAAAATATTACGCCCTTCGCAACTGCATGAGCCCATTTAAGGCCACACCAACCTTTATATTAAAATTTACTCTATAATTTGTAGGGATGTACCGATACCACTTTTTGAAAACCGAACCGATATTAAATTGATATAGGCCGTTAACCGATCCGATATTATATCCGATTTTTATATTCCGTAAACATACTAATCGTTTTAATTTTTAATGCATGCATCTAGTGTTTCAAAATAGCTCAACGGTTGACTCTGTATTTTATCCAGAGAAGATGGTTGCACAAGACTGAAGATTTTGCTCATAGAGGCACAAATATTTGGACATCTGTTAGAGAAATCTCGAGGCATAGGACAATATTTTTTTCTGCTCAAATGGAGTTATTTGGCATCATACATTCATCTTACTCATCTCATACACTTTTTTAATAGTGTAACACCCATAATTTAACTCTACCATAACATAATTCATTAAAATATATTATAATAATCAGTTATGGTCGCTTTTCTATTATAAAAATATGTATATTCATGAATCTTAAAAAAAAATACTTTTTAAATTAAATAAATTCACTTATTTATAAAACAATAACAATAATTTGATCTATTTACATTAATAAGTTCAGTAAGCATGATTGAGGTAAGAATTGGAGAATAGATTGAATTAGAAAGAACTGGAAAAAAATATATAATCGGAATATATATATATAAACACATAAATAAAATAATTTTGCCATCACCCTTATTTACATGTTAATTATGAAATAATGAGACATAAAAAAATTAAAAAGGCAAAAGGGTTAAAACTAAATTATAATTAAGAAAAATATACTTTCTCAAAAAACTGGAAAGTGTTATAATATTTACAAAATCTCAATTATATAACCTTTCTTTAATAATAATCATTTACATGATAGGTAATATTAAATAAGTATCATGATAATTCTTATTAAGACGCCATTTTATCGATTCCGATGGATCGGAAATTTTTTTTATAGTATCGACCGATATTTTAAAAAGAGTGAAATGTGGGCCCGACCCGGTCCGTTATTAAATACCGGTACATGCCTAATAATATTGCATTTCTCTCTCTCTCGTTGTTAAGCTCAAATTCGCTACAATTGTATTTTTAACGTAATAAAGCAGGAACCGCAAACCGATATTGAACATTATATACAAAACTCTAGACTGTCGTAAGAAGAAAGAAAGAAAGAAAGAAAGAAAGAAAAAGTGTTAAAAATTATTTTCAAGTCATCATTTTATTTTTTTATTTTTTAAAAAAATGCAATAATTTATCGGTACAAATTAATATATTAAAGAAATTTAGTTTTTTTTCCCTCCTTAAAATCACGTCAGATCTAAACTGGCCTTATATAATATGAGGTCTTTAGTATTATATAGTTCCATATTATCGACGCATTTGTCGTCGAGGGGTATTTCGGCAACGGCGCTGGAATTCCTCTCCGAAGCTTGACTCTCCTTTTTTCTCCGCGCCGCCTTTTCGTTCTTTTCCGTAGGCGGAAACGTGGCCGTGACGCTTTTAATGATATCGTCGTTGGGCAAAAGAAATTTCATGGCGTGAATCACATTTTTGGTCTTCGCGAAAAGAAAATTTATTTATATATATATATTTAGAAATTATTAGGGGTATCAAATATCGTGTAAATCACAATAGAATAGAATAGATAGCTTATTTGTATATTTCTTTACAAATGAATACATAATCTTATTATTATACAAAACATGTTGGAGTTGGTAATCAATGAGAATAAAATTTAAACGTGTTCAAGTTTATTTAGGGAAGGAATTAGGGCTGCGCCGATATTATAGTGCGCACAAATTGAACGTTTCAAAGGCTGCGTTGCAAGCGGAAATAAATGCATTTCAAATGGCCTCATGCGAATTTGGTAAAATTGCCGTTTGGCATTGGCAACCATTTTTAAAAAAAAACGGAAATAGGTTAGCGTTTTCATAACTTATTTTAATTCTTCGCTTTGTAATATTTTATAAAAATGTAATGTAAATAACTTACTTGTATAGTATCCTAAAAAGAATATTTCGAAATTAAAGAAATAAGAAGGCAGACGATAATATAATTTTCGAAGACAAATCCTTATTTTTTAGAACCCTTATTTAAAATTTTGAATCGACTGATATTAATAAAAAAAGGACAACCTCGATTTAAACAAGGGAAGCGTTACGTTTTTTATTTATTTAAGAAACACGGCAAAACGTAAACGCTCAATTTGTATGCACTATAAAAATGATATGGTTATAAATGTGCCAATTTCGAAATTGCCACATGAGTAAGGGCAGTAAATTTTTAATGTACAACAGCTTAGAATGTTAAATAGGCTTTAAAAATAATAATTTATCCAAGCAAAAAAAATATGTTAAGAAGAGACAGCATCGGGTAAATGAAGTAAGCATATAAAATAGCTGTCAATCTATTGCCAATTCTAAGATGTACACATTTCAAAAAAGAAAGGTCATTCTAATATCGGCACTGGTGTTGTTTAAAAAGCCCGATTAAGATTTTAGCCAAAATCAAATAGATGCTCCAAGCATTTCTGTCAGCTATGAGCAAAATCTTCAGGCCTACATAATGTTATTTTGTGTTATAATCTTAATCGGGCCGTTATGGACCTGAATCAGGCTTTTTAACACTAATCCGCGCAGCCCTAGAAGGAATTCTTAAATGAAACATGTTTTAAGAGCACCACGGAGAATGTTGCTTTATTTATTAAACGTTAACATCAAATCACGTGCATTATGAATCTGCAAAGACCGAGATTTTAACCCAACTATTTCTCCCGCCAATCAATAGTCGCCCCCAGACTACTTCCCTTTGGGTGGGCCTTCAGCCCGGGTTTCCTTAGTCCATATATAGTTAATAAAATATGTTTACAAGATAGGAGATTAATTTAAAAGTAAAAAATTGGTTAAGAGATTGTATCAAAAAAATAAGTCTGGAACAAATAGGAAATATATTTTTTATTAGTTTATATAAAATATAATAAATTCAAAATATAAATATACATTAATGCAGAAAACGTGGTAATGATTTATAATGTTAAATTTAATTTTCTTTTGAGAATTTGATAGTTCACTTTCCCGTTGAATATTTATAAGAGAGCTAAACCATTTAATCTATTTTGCGAGGTAGTATTTTAGCGAATGTTGAGAAAGTTCTTTCGTTAGTATATGTCGTAATAGGGAGGCATGTTTAATTTTGAAAGAATTTTGTAATGTTCGGAAAGTCCATTAGTGCATGTTTACAATTATATTGAGTGCATTTAGTGCATTATCAGGCTTAATGTCCATTCTTTTTAATGTCGCAAACCAATATTTAAATTTAGTAATTACTTCCAAGTCGATCACTACAATATATTACAAATAAAACGTATATAAATAGTGAATTTTATCTAGTATTTCATCCGAGATGCTCACTGATGGATTTGAGGTTAATAAAAATTTTAAATCAATTAAGCAACAGTTTATGGTTCAATAAGCGTTCTCCAATTTGTGTCAAAAATGAATCCATAAGTGGTAAAACAGTCGTAATTTAGTAATACACCTCAACTGATTGTGTGGAAATATTATTCCTATGTACTTGACTCTTCACAATTCTTGCATGTTTATTGCGATATTACTGCTTTTTTTAAACCATGTTAAAAATCTTTCCAAATTCATAATCAGCATTTTTTCTTATTTGTACAATAGCATCACATGCATTCTCTGCTAAGATTAATGCTTGAACCACATCTTGATTCCCATTTTCAAGGTTCTACATAAAATATTGTGTGACAGAAGAGTGTTAAACAAGATCTTGAATTGCTTTCAATATTCCATTAAGTTCTGCTACAACTGACATATCTGTTCATTTTAGTATTATAGACTTTCCGAACATTACAAAATTCTTTCAAATTTAAGCATGCCTCCCAATTATGACATGTACTAATGAAAGAACTTTCTCAAATTTATGAAGGCTAAAAACATATTTGCGAAATACAACCTAGCAAAATAGATTAAATGATTTAGCGCTCTTAAATATTCATCGAAAATAACTAATTCTGAAATAATTAATGAATTATCAAATTCTAAAAAAATTAGATCTAGCATGAAAAATTATTACCAAGTTATATATATATATATATGTGGAATTTACTATATTTTATATAAACATAAATAAAATATATTTCCCATTTGTTCAGGCCTTATTTTTTGATATAATCTCTAAATTAATTTCAAACATTTAAAAAAAAAATTTTTTTTATAAAAAATAAACTCCTATCTTGTAAATATATTTTATAACTATATATAGAATAAAACCTAAAAGTGCACCAAAGGCTTACCATAAGTGGTTTACCACTCAGAAATTTATTAATCCTCCTCACTCCCCCTTTAGAAAAATCATGGACATGCCTAAGCTATCATAATATATTGAATTCACTTGCCTTCCCTATTTAAAAATATTTTCCACCCACACATATCTGCCCTTGATTTAAATTTCTTAGCCAATTCAAGTCCACCCTTAGTATAAGTAAATAGGGTGATAGATAGACCTTTAACATGCATCTACAAATAATGACATTTATATATAAATGTGAAATAAAATAAAAAAAAACTATCTAAGAATATATATTAGTCATATCAAAACTTATAAATATCATTTTCATTTTTTGAATTTAATAAATAGTAAATAAGATTCAGAAATAAAGAGCACTTTATAACTTACAAATAATTTCAACAAAATATAACTGGACTTCTATAAAAAATATATTAATGTAACTGATATCATAAAAATATTTATGCTATTATTTTCATGTAAAATTATAAATAACTTAAAATTAATTAGCTAAAGTAAAAATTGTCAATACTATTTATTCATTTAATATGGAAAATAATTATAAACTTATGAATAAATTTTCTTATACTTTTTCTAAATTTTCTTTAAGATCATTGATAATGAGTTTTCTTTCAGACAACTGTTTTTCCATCAATCCATTCAAAAAATATTTAGCTTGAAGAGGACGATATTCATTTATTAAATGACTAATGTGTATATACAGAAGATTTATATCCTCCAGCTTCTCTATTCTTTCAACAGAATCAGGATTGTTAACTAATATATCAATCAAATCAAAATAATTGGTTATTATTGATTTTAAAATTTTTTCCAATTCAAATTTGCGATTATATTTTATAGGATATAAACGTTTAATTCCGTGATATTCTAGGGACATCATTGGAATTTCATTGACATCATAGATATTTCCAAAAGAAACGTACTTATCCGTAGGTGGTAAAGGAGGTTCAAGTTTGAGTGATTTATCATTACTACGAAGATTTTCAGTGGTGTATTTATTAATGTATATGTAAGGTGGTAAAGGGAAAGAACTTATTGCATCCATTCGATTGACAAAAAAATTGTAAGTACTAAATCCCGAAAAGCATATGTTCCTTTAATTTTTTTTAAAAAATTTGTCAAAATAGAATTTTATATATAAGGTGAAAAAAATGATATTTCAATTAATATAGCTTTGTAGGATAACTCTTGTCAATAATTTTTAATTAATACCTTTAGATTTGTCAATCTTTACAAGAATTTTATCTCAAATATAATAATCAAAACATTAAAAAAATGCATTAAGTGTAAAAAGATATTTAAGGAAAATGATATCTAATAAAATATTTATAATCATATGACTTAAACAAATTTTCCTTTGTTATTTATACAAATTTGATAGAATTAAAATAATTTGCCACAAAAGATAATTATGTATATTATTCGCAATGAACCATAATGTCTTCTATAAAATTATTTATAAAAATAATAAAACGATGGAAATGGATATACACAGTTTTCTTTGGTAAAACTCATAATGAAGAAATGAATAAAACGAATAAATTAAACCTTTTAATGTTCGTTTTCATGATTTTGACTTTATTTTTTTTTAAATAATGCACAGTATTAGTAAAAAATGTGACGAATTGAAAAAACAATATGATCAATGCTTTAATACATGGTTCTCTGAAAAATTCTTAAAAGGTCAAACCGAAGATACCTGTGCTTCAATTTTTAAAGAATATAAAGTAATTAGACATAATTATTATGAGGTATATATATATTTATATTTAGAAATGTTTAGATGAAGAAATAATAAAGAAGGGAATTGACCTTAAAGAACTCAATATACTAACAACTACTAATGAAGATGAATAAATAATAAAAAAACAAATATTTTTAATTAACCTCAAATTAATTATAATATACAAAATGGTATTAACAAAATTATTGCTCCTCAAACCTTTTGTCTTGTTTAGAAGAAGAGCATTTTATTCTACTACAGAATTGTTTAATAACAAAGCAAATAATGTATTATTGTATTCATTGAAACATCCTTACCTCAAAAAGATGTATAGAACAGTAGTGTTCTCACAACTAGGGATAATTACTATTTTATTATATTGTAAATATAAAGATCCGTTGAAAGACATTGATTTTGATACTCTTTACAATGATGATGTCAAAACAGAAGAAATCCTACCACAGCCAACATCAATCTTAAATAAATTCAATATTTTATCCAAAATAGGCAAAAAATTTCATTTTTCTGGTGATCATGTATATTGGAATAGATTTGACTACTTTTTGTTTTCATTTGGTAATATTAAATATTATATTAAATTCAATATATTTTAGGAATCTACAAATTTCAGGCTGGGTTGGATTTAAATTTTTAAATATGATGTCATTACATTTTGTCAAATATATTGATATATTTTTAAATTTTTGCTAGAAACAAACACTGATATTTTTTATCTATAGTATATTTTTTTTTACTATTATAAAAAACATTACTCAGATGAGGTTGAGTAGACAATTATAATTTTTATTTGGGCTTTTTAGTACAAATAAATATTTATTTTGTTACAGTTTGGGCCAGGCAGGATATTGAGCTGGGCTTGGAATATTAGGCCTGATGCATATTTATTAATATTTTAATTAATTATCTTCAATAATTTTTTCTAATCTAACAAAATTATAGGGATCATTATACAAATATTTTTATTTAAAAAAATAATAAAGCTGTCGTAACTACGAGTGCAGCTTTTCTTACAAGCAGAAAAATGGTCTTAAACATGTGGTCAGATCCAAATAAAAAACAATTTATCATAGAAACATTAGGATTATTCAAGCAAAATCAAATTACACATCATCCTTCCAAAAATTTTATATATCATAATAACTTGAGTCAAGTCAAATTCAAAAGCAATTACCTAGTTAACTCGAATCGATTTCAAATTGTGGAAGACCTCAAGGCCCATAATTATACCATGAAATTGGTGTTCAATGATACAGATCCATCATCATCAGAAAATGATTCAAGAAGACACTTTTGGAGCAGCAAAAAGCGCAATTACGTTTTATCCAAGAGGGGAAATGTTTACAATGCCAAATATTGGGATTACTTGTTTGGTGTCAGATGCATTTAGACACAAAATAAATGTATAAAACCTTATAAAGAATTATTGTGTATGACCTAAAATTTAAATATTTTTTTTTTAATATCTGTGAAGAATTTTATATTTGTATATATATATACTGAAGCTTAATGTTATTAAAGAAAAATCATGATGTAGACAATTAGATTACTTTTAATCTTTGTTCAATGATTTTTTTTTAAATATTTCACATGACCTTGTTATTTACCTAGTATCATACTTTTTAATATTCTTCACTATCGTATCCTTTGCCATTAATGCAGCTTGATTCGTATAAAGAAGAAACTAAGGTAATTTCAATTCGTTATAGTAGGTTTGACCATGTCAAAAAAATTAGGAAAAGGACAGTCAGTGGTTAAACCTCCATTTTGAGTCTATTTTTAATAACGGCTAACTCAATATTTTATCTTGAAAAATAATTAAGCAAGCCTGATGATTTTGCTCACAGCTGGAACTAGATTTGGATATCTATTGGCGAAATCTCAAGGCTTAGGCAAAATGTTTCTGGACCAAAAATATTGAGTTAGCAGCTGTCTAACTAGACAAGTCAGTGGCATTACTCTGATACCTGATCAAAGTGGATCATTTTTATAATTATGGAATATGTAAATACAAAATGTGACACAGGTCGATTAAGTGGTTCTGTGGTTAATCTTAGGATCTACAAATAGTTATAGGATAATTTAATAGTCCTTCCATGGTTAATCTTTGGACTTACAAAGACAATACTCATACAAGGTGATACAATAGTAAGAAAAATTCTCCCGAATAAAAAAGATCATATTTTTTTTACACCCTTTAGTAAATTATATATGATTTTTTTTTTAAAACTAATAGTGTATAGGTTAAATTAGTGGGGTACAAAAATCGTTATATTATATACAATATGGTAATATTTTTAAAGCTCGTTAACAGTAAAACATGTTCAATATTAAACTAATATCGATTATTTTGTTAATAATCTTTTTTTTGTTAAAGTAACTATTACAAAAACTATCAGTTTTTCAATAAATTTGCTTTGCTGCAGCCGATATAGCTGATAAAAAAATGATAATTTAGTGGAAGCGTGCTGTGACTATCCTCAAAATTTTAATTATGAAAGTAAGTTGCTCCTACCCCGTATCTTTTGACCCCGGTAGATTGCAATATATTATTTTAGCTAAGAAAATTATTATATCTTGTACTACAGTTATTATTGTCGAACGAGATATATTATTATCGGTGACCTCTACAGGCACCATTTATGCAGCCCGGTTTATAGTTTGTTTTTTAAAAAAAAATCTGTTTTGACTGGCCCGGGTTATATGATTTTAGCCCCGGTCATAATTTTTTTTTAAAAATTTATTACATTTGTTTTTAATTTTATAGTTAATAAAGGCGATTTAGAATATATCTGACTTGGCCTAAATATTTTTTTTTAAAGTGTACCCGTGGCTTAGGGCTGGGCCTGCACGTCACATGATTATTATATATATAAAAAATTTATAATATTTAATCGAAACCTAAAAATTTTTTTTTGAACTTGTTCAATATTTGGGCTTGACACTTCTTGGATGTTCGGTAAATATAAACACAAGTTGTTGTTATTTTCTAAAGATTTTACCATGGGAGATCATTATTATTCTGAATTTTTTTTATATTCCTTATTCTGGGTTCATTTTGCTTTTGTAACAAAAAAAAGAGAAAATTATAACTTTGGAGGCTAATATTATCTTAGTAATCAATAATTTTTTAAATATTACCATAATCCTGATCCATTTCAGTAAAACACAAAAAAAAAATATTCTTTTTAATCCAAGAGGTGGCCCTACATCTGGATTTCTTCTCTATAATCCCCTCTTCACCATCTAGCCTTCCGGCCTTGTTCCCTGATCCGATCTTGACGATCAATTGTAGCGACCTGATTGCCTCTAACTGGAGAAACTAATTCTGTACTTTTTGAGCACAGTATTTATCTTAGGGTTAGAGAGCAAAAAATTAATTTATTTTTACTTAAATTGATTTTGATATAAAAAAGTAAAAAAAATTTTAAAAACAAATTCTAATACAACTATTAATTTTTTACCTAAAATTGCGTTAATTTTCCCCTTAGTAGTGTTGATCAATTAAATTTATAAATGGAGCCAAAATTAGATTTAAATTATCTTAAAAATAAGCCCGTTCTGTTAACCCTTCCTTCTAAAAAAATAAGTATTTCTAATTAAGTAAAGTATCTCTGAACCGTGTTCAGGGCAATGACATATGATAATACCTAGAGTGAGGATACATTTATTAAAGGTGTACATCAATCAAAAACAGCTGGGGACGCCATTTTGGTTTATCCTTTCTTTTTAAAAATAACGTATATTCGAATAACATCAATCTGGATCATAAAATAAGGAAACGTATATATTTTTTATGATTTAATATTTCAAAAAAAAAATTAGAAAATATATGGTAGTTTTTAACATGAGAACAATTACTATACGGGTTACAAAAATAGCGGGCCCTGCTGATTTGCATTCAACGACGCTTTCAAAAATTTAGTAAAATAAACCCCGAGAAACCTCCATTTTTTTTAAATAAAATATATTTTAGGGGAAACCGGGGTAAAGCGATTGACGGGGTAAGAAAGTTAACGCGAATAACTTTTTAATGCTTGAGAACACGAAGTTTTTAAATTTGGTGTGAAGACGTATTTTTATATCTAATTTCTTACCTATGTTCATCTTTTAAAAAACTTACCTGGTTTTATATATTTTGTCAAAAAACTGTTTTTTACACAAAAATTATAAAAATCATTCTCTAGTATATTATGCTTGTAAATGTACATATCCTCAGGATTCAAAATTTGGCACACATGTTCCTCAATGTATTAGCTATAAAATAAAATTTATCTGACATCTATAGCTGTAATAGAAGTCACGCAGTAACAATATTTATAATATATGTCACCTTGGGGTAAAGCTGTTGTAGGGTAAAGCGGTTAAAATATGTAATTATTCACATTAAATTTTTCTTTCTTTCATTCATTATAATTTTTATTGTATCAATCAAATAATGAGAAATTATAAAAGAAAAACCATATTCAGAGATGTGAGTATATTAGAATGAAGCCATAAAATATAAAATAACAATAACACTTCATTGAATTTGTCTGCTAAAAAATATAAAATACCTTATACAACATTGAGAAGAAGATATAAAATGGTATTTAAAGTTCAGATCATAAATAAATATTTACAAATGAAGAAGAATCTAGATAGTGTGATTACATACTAGAAGCATAGGTCATTTATGGGATTAACGCCTAAACATAATTAAATTACATTGTTTGTATTTGAATTGAGTATTAATTAATAAATATATTATGTATTTCAATTGAGCATTACTAATAAAGTTACCAAATTAATATTGAAATTTGAAATTATTTATTCAGAGAAGAAAAAAGATATCAAAAATAGAATTGTTTATGAGTTATTTGCAATAAAAACTATAAAAATAGTCGCGAGGGCGATGAATGGTTAAAATGTACAATGTGCCTTGAATGGGCGCATTCTAAATGTGATAATTGTGATAAATACTTTACATGTCCTTATTGTATTGATTAGTTTGTAAATAAAAATCATAACTATATCTTAAATTTGTAATATTTGTTAAATAAAAAGATAAATATATGTCAAATATATATTTTAACCACTTTACCCCAGTGCTTATCCACTTTACCAGGTATCTAGGGTAAAATGGCGAAAATGAGTAGTTTGACATAACTAATCATAGCTCCTAAAATATTATAGGTAGAGGGCTACACTTTTTTATCTTGTAGATGAGGGATGGGCTATACATTGATTTATAATTTGTTGTGTTTGACTCTTGTTAAAATTTTTTAGGTAAATATGCAAAATGTCTATCGTTTTACCCCGGTCTCCCCTACTACAATTTTAGCAATTACCATAAAAATAATTTGTCATTAAAAGTATTATTCTTAATGTTTTTCAACATAATTTTATAAGGGAAATATCGTGATATTTTTCGAAAATCGAGATGTTAATATTAAAGTATTCAATTTTTTATCCCTTAACATAGACAGCGCATCACATAATAATGAATTTTCCTTTGTGATTTTATCTTTAGTCTTGCTTTTAATTTAATAATTTCTAATAAACAATAGATTCCTGTATAAATGAACATTATATAATTTATAGGTTATCTTTATATTTAAATTTTTAATACAGTTTTATATATTTTATTTTAAATATATATTTATTAAAATAAATAAAAGTTTAATATTTTAAAAAAAAATATAAGAAATCAATTGAACATTGAACCAAAATTTTAAGAAGAGTTCTGGTTTTGAGGGTTTGGTAAAATATCCAAGGATTCGGGTTTTCATTCAGAACCGTGAAAGTATACCTATATTTCATTATTAACTAAAATAAAAAAATCTATGGAGAATCTTTTAAATGATGAAAATAAAGATGTCCTGTATATACTTTTAAACAAAACATGAAGAGAAATTACAAAAAATAAACAATCGACATTTTCAACTGTCTCATTTTATACTTTCCCACAATGGGGAATTCGAAGTTATTTTTTTTAAAATTTCAATAATCCAATTCTAACTTTTCCGGAAGTATAGAATTCGTAGAAAACCTTATAAAAGATAGAAAGAAACAAAGAACTTGAGAATCTATTTTATACCTGTTAAAATTTTAAAATAGAAAAATTTGAACTAAATTATTGGCTAATTAAATACAATATTTTTTTCTAATATAAATAATTATATTAAGAATTTGGAAAATAAAAATTACAGAAAATATATAATGTTGAAATCATATAATATATAATGGTATAATAAATTATCTTGGTTAATTATTAAATAAACATTTAGAAAATAGATGGCGTTAATACTATGCTCTCTTATTTTATTTTTTAAATATTAATCAACATTGTATAAAAGTAATTTAAATATATATTTATCATAAATCATCATAGTCGTATCTATTTTATATTCACAAATATAGAAAAATTATGATTAAAATTAAAAAGATATACATATAATATAATATATACTGTTTAATATGTGGAGACACCCAATTCAATAACTAAATTAATTTCTATATAACCAAATTCAATAACTAATTTTAATTTCTATATTATAATAAAAGACTACAACTTTTTAGTCATTTTTTTATTTCAAAATAATCATATCGAATTTATTAATTAATTTTCGAATGTTTCATTCTAATTTTTTTTATATATAATATCTATAAATAATATTTTATTAATTTATTACATAGTTTGATTTCCTCAATAAACCTCTTTGTAGGTTTACGGTTTCTTGAAGAACAACGTAATGTGGTATTTGTATTTGCTTCATTCACTGGCACAACCGTTTCTGTAACTTCCGAAGAACTTTCATGGTTTGGAATAACTAAACGATTTTTTAGCTGATCTGCATGCCTTCGCAATGTATTCTCGGAAGTTTCAACATTATAAAAAATAAAGTCCTATTCTTTCTTTAATTACTCTCTCTCTCTCTCTCCAACCATTGGTATTTTCATTATTTAACCACACAGGTTGTGAGATTTCGAATTCTCTTTCTTTTGAATGTAAATTATGAAGATGGCTTTGTCTATAATTGGCCTTTACTATTTCGTGTTCAGCATTTGGTCGGAGCCTACCAAGCATAATTTTGGCAGGAGATCTCCCTGTGGAGCTACGCTCTCCCAGTCGGTAGGTTGTTAAAACCTGTGTCATAACTTCTTCGAGATCGCTAATTGAATCTCTCGTTGCATAATACCGACCTTTCAAAGTTCGTACTGTACTTTCAACTAATCCATTAGTTTTTAGAAGATAGGGTGCCGAACTTATATGACGTATGTTATTTAAATCACAATACCTACGGAATTCCCCAGATAAAAATTGTGGTCTATTGTTTGACACAATGTACTTAGATATTCCAAACCTAGCAAACCATTTTTTTAATCGTTTTATCATAGCATCAGCAGAGGCATTCTGCATTAGATCAACTTCTAACTATTTGGAGTAGGAATCGTCACCAATTAGCCAATATCGCGAATCTACTGGTCCAGCAAAATTAATATGAATTCGCTCCCAAACGCGTTTTCTCTCCAAATAATCACTCTAATGGTTTATGATTAGTTCGAAGTAAAAATATTTTCTACCATAAATCCATGAATGAAATTTTTAAATGCCAAATAAAAGTGCTCGAGCTTCTTTATCAATCGGAGAGCGCACTGTTTCTCTGATTCTAATAGAGTACGTGATGTGAACGAAATAGGTTTTGTCCTTCTATCTACTATTTGATGTAACAGCACAGCCCCTAATCCTGAATCAGATGCGTCGCATTCCAAAATTATAGGCAACTGCGCGTTATAAGGAATTAATGTTTCCTCGGAAGACATTCATCTTTCGTCCACCGCCAAGGTACTTTTACGCTCGTTAATCTTGCGATAGCGCCGCTTTACAATCTAGATTTACGAATAAAACGTTCATGTTAACTCACGGGTCTTAGAAAAGATCTAAGTTGTTGTATATTTTTAGGTTTTGGTAGCATTTAGGATAGCTTTCAATCTATTCTAGATTTGGATTTATACCAAATTTATCAATAATTACACCTAAGAATTAAACCGATTTTTGTTATAAAAATTTTTTACTATCCAAAATTTCGCCATAGAGACCTGCCGTCTCTGCAAATCAGTCTAACACGATTCTCAAATTATTTAAGTGCTCATCATCGTAATGACCAGAAATAATTATGTCGTCTGAGTAGACACCTGTCACTTGACAATTTTTTTAACAACTAATCCATACATCTCTGGATAGGTGCACTTGCCAATCCAAAAGTCAATCGTCGGTAGCGGAAATACAAAAAAAAATGATTCCACGAAAAAAATGATCAAAAAATGTTTTTTTTTAAATTGAAAAAAAAAACAATTGTTTTAAATGAAAAAACCATTGTTTTAAATAGGAAACTTTTATAAATAAAAATCGTAAATTAACATGTCTTTTTATATTAAATTATTTTTAACGTATAATTTAAGGTATCACGTGAATTCGGCGCGGAAAATTCGGCGCAGAAAACTTGGCGCGGCGTCAATTCGGCGCATCGTCAATTCAGCGCGGCGACAACTCGGCGCAACGTCAATTCAGCGCGGCGACATCTCGGCGCAACGTCAATTCGGCGCAACATCAATTCAGCGCAACGTCAATTCGGCGCGGCGTCAATTCGGCGCGTATCTAATACAGTTGCAATTTATTATAAATTTATTAGTATAAAAAAAGGATGATTAAATAGAAATGATTTTGAATGTTGGTCATATTAATTATTTCTTCGTATTTTTTTTTACAAAAATCTCAATTTTATTTACTAAACGTGTAATATCAATAAAAAAAATTAACAACCAATATTTATACCGATTTCCTTGCTGGACCAATTTACCACATTATAAGGTAGAGGAGACTGGGGTTAGGTACCGGGGCTTGGCAAACCACTTAATCTCATCTTAAAATTAAATACACCAGAAGGTTAAAATTTTATCATAATATAGTTTTTATTAGTTTACGTCTATAGACAAAAAATCTTTTGAAATAATTATTAAAAATTTTATTTAAGAAATAAAATATTGATGAAGTTTTTATAATTTGGGAAAGTTTTATGAGTATTTATTATATCCAGAAATTTAGAGTTAGCAGGGCTTGCTAAACCATACACGTCAATTATGGCAGTTAATAATGAAAAAAATACAAAATGTTTATTTAATTAACCAAAATTAAGTTTCAATTTTTATATATAACTTGCCTTAATTTACCCGCTATTGGGGTGTTGGACAAAATTGTTCTTTTACAAAAAGTAAAATTCAAAAAAAAAATGATAATATTCTTAAAATTTTTTATAAGGAACCTTTATAGAGTATAGTTTTAGGTATCTAATCATATATATTTTTATATTATCTAAAAAACCAGGAACTATAGCCAATTTTATAAAAATCGGTCCGACTAACCCCAGTCTCCCCTACCTTATAATGTGGTAAATTGGTCCAGCAAGGAAATCGGTATAAATATTGGTTGTTAATCTATTTTATTGATATTATAGTGCGCACAAATTGAGCGTTTCAAACGCTGCGTTGCAAAGGCAACATTTTAAATAAGTTCTTTAAAAAAAGGATTTGTCTTTTGAAAATTATATTGTCGTCTGCGTTCTTATTTCTTTAATTTCTAAATATTCCTTTTTAGGATTATAAGTAAAGATATTTATATTAAATTTTATATAATATTACACAGCGAATAATACTAAAAAGTAATGAAAAAGCAAACCTATTTGCGTTTTTTAAAATGGTTGCTAACGCCAAACTGTAATTTTACCAATTTGCACGAGGTCATTCGAAATGCATTATTTGCGTTTGAAACGCTCAATTTGTGCGCAGTATTACACATTTAGTAAATAAAATTTAAATTTTTGTAAAAAAAAATACGAAGAAATAATTAATATGACCAACATTCAAAATCATTTCTATTTAATCATCCTTTTTTTTATGCTAATAAATTTATATTAAATTGCAACTGTATTAGATACGCGCCGAATTGACGTTGCGCTGAATTGACATTGCGCCGAGTTGTCGCCGCGCTGAATTGACGCCGCGCCGAATTGACGTTGCGCCGAGATGTCGCCGCGCTGAATTGACGATGCGCCGAAGTGACGCCGCGCCGAGTTTTCTGCGCCGAATTGATGTGGAACCATAATTTAAAATAAAAATGAAAGTTTACTGGAACCCTAAATTTTAAAAAAGGGTTTTGGCTCAGCAAAATATTGAGGTTTCGGATTTTCGTGCCTGGTTTGAAATACACTTTTATTATTTTCTTTTCTTAATTATTAATCATCTGTTGATAACTAATTGACAATTTGACAATCCATTATTGAAATTATTTAAAAAATATAAATTCTATCTAATCAAGTTATATTCAAATATATCATAAATATATAAATAAAATAAAATTATAATTTTAATAATATTTTTTGGTAGTCCGAGGCAATTTTATATCCTATTCTAATTTTCCCAGTTATCGATATATTGTCATTGTGTTCGATTTGCGTGATTATAGTACATTTCTAATAATGATATGTTATTCTGTACATATATATTTAACTTATTTAAACTGTTAAAAAATATAGCATTTTATGTTCAAAACAATTGTTATGTTTCATTTTACTTTAAAAGGTCATTCTAATCTAAATTGAAGTTTTTTTTTTATATTACCTTTCAAAAACATTTTATTCTTAATTACAATTATTTTGTATGTAAGAAACGTGTTTTTTTCTGTATTAGATTACATTTTTGATCATTGCGATTTGATTTATCTTTATTTTACCAAAAATGCTTGTTGTGGTCAAGAATATTCTCGTGAATTTTAAAGTGCTTCTTCATCAAAAACATTATTGTCTAACAAATTCTCATCCAAACATTCTGTGTCCCAGAATACAACAAAAACATTTAATTCCTCTTAATTTTTTCAAACGCTATTTTCATAAAAATATTCCATCTAATTAGCATGCTAAAAATGACTCAGGTGTGAGCTAGTTATAAACAGACTTCTAAAACGTTATTATGGAAAGACATTCTTTAAATTTTTTTAAAATTATATACCAGGTGAACGACGCATTTTGAAATCTTTATATATCGTTGCAAATAAAAATGAATTTCCACAATAATGATATTAGGTTTGACTCTGAATCTGATATAATTTATAAGATAAAACAAATATTCCAATGAGATCCTACCATTCCATATGCAAGGATTTAAGTTTATTAGTGATTGTACTAAACAATTAATAGGTAACTAACTGTCAACCTGAAAATATATTACACTCTAATCTGGCTAAATTTATTTCAATTTACAATGCAAAACCTCCAAATATAAACAATATAATTTCTGTGAATAATCTTACCTATTGCTCCCTCATAACATCATTTAATATAGTGAATAGAATTAAAAAGTTAATGTAGATATTTAAATAAAACATTTAAAATTATGAATAATTTCACTGTTAGATCATGGCGCAGTCAACTTGCCTTAGAGAAATTTAATGAAAAAAAAAATTGGGACATCAATATTTACTTATCGCATATGTAAAATTATTAGCTCAAGTGAACGTTTGGCCTAATATTAAACGAAGACATCGTATTACATGGTATAAGAATTGTGAATTAATATATAACCTTAATAGTGAAACGACATAGGGAAATGACTCCAGGCAAATAAGCTATGGGGATGAATTCACTTAAATTTTACCGAACCTATTTATCAAAGATAGATATATTTAATAAAAATAGATTGTTTTAGCAAATGACCTGAAATACAAAATTTTTTGACAAATAAGTATTAAATACCCCAATACTATTGTTCCCTAATTAAAGTAGTTACCCCTTATCTTCCACCATAAAATGGAGAGGAGGAAAGCTTAGTACAACCTTAATAATAGTTTATTTTTTTTAAAAAAACATTACGATTATGATAGAAACAAAATTTTCTTTATCGAAAATATCCACAAATAACCATTAAAACAATCCTCAAGTTCAATTATGCTTAAATTTGAACCATATAGGATAACTACAGTTTGTATAAACAAAAAAGTGGGGTTTTCAGGTTTTATAGTTAAAATAAAAGAATAGGACCAACAAAATAGCAAACAAAAAATAGCTTTATGGAGAAGACATTTTTAACCATTAGAACATGTAAGTTCGACGATTTCCGATAAATTTCGATACTATTAACCTTTTTCATTCTATTACATTATATTTTCTACTTCTCATCTCTCCATCTTAAATGGGGTAATGTTTTCTTATCACGTTTTTGGATATCTTCTACTTCCGTTTTCCAATGAAGGTTAATTCATAATATCGATTTCTGTTTTTTCCCATTTGTGGAGTTTTGCGATGTGCCTTTAGGTATCGAGGTTTGTATCTGGATAATTTCGTCTGAATCAATTGGTGGTATAGTATACCCCTTATCTATTTCTGCTTGTATCTTTTCCCTTTCTTCTTTCCTCGTATAATTTAAAAAAAATTTAACAACGTTTTCTATCTCTTTCTTTGTGTTTAAGAACGAACGTTTCATTCCTGAATTTTTTTTTACGCAAACGCCTTCCATTTTGTATCACAATTCTCAAACATATCAATAAAACATTTAGGTTTAATAAATATTCAAAAAAAAATACCCCCCTTTTTTTATATATTTATAATCATATAAATAAAATTAAAAAAATAATTATAAATAACGGTTATTTCATTGCAAACATAATAAACGACGTAAGCCAATTCATTTAAAATAGCGGCGCGAATAAAATATATTTTTCGGGTTTAATAAATTCGACCAAAAATGTTAACCAATATTTCCGGGTTCTTGGGCCAACGATATAATCTGTTTTTAGAGGTTTAAAAGATATATAAATATATTGTAAAACGATTTAAGGCTTAAAAAATTGGAAAAAAATAGTATATAAACAATTCTTTCCTACTTTCTTTTCTTTTTCTTTCATTCATTTTTTTTCCTTTCTTTCTTTCATTTATTCATTCATTCATTTTATCTAATCTATCTATCTATCTATCTATCTATCTATCTATCTATCTATCTATCTATCTATCTATCTATCTATCTATCTATCTATCTATCTATCTATCTATCTATCTATCTATCTATCTATCTATCTATCTACCATTCTTTCAACAAATGGAGACTTTTAAGACAATCGATATCCACCCTTACTAGGTCTCAGAGTTAAGAATACATATATTTATGAACAAATAATTATATAAATTTTAAACGGATTTTTTTTTATGAGTATAAAAATTTGTAATTAGCATTTTTTTTTATTAAGTATTATACCATTTTTAACCCTTGAGTGAGCGATAAAGTGGGGGAAAAAACAAATATGGTTGGGGTTTGGATACCTAGCTCTAATCCCATTCCAATATTTTCCGGAAATGGATTTCACCGTGTTTGGAATACTCTTACTCTACTACGAATTTCGGACAATTTTGCCACGAACCCTTAAACTTTATATAAATTATATATTAATTTTTTTACGTAAATTATAAATGACGCAAAAGTTAAAAGGCAAATATGCCTATAATTCATAAGATAGGAATATTCTAAACATGCTATAATGCATTTCCGGAAAAATCAGAATTTTTTTAGAATTTAAAAAAAAAACAGGCTCAAAAATATGATTTAAAGTTGTAACAAAAAATAGCACGTTATCGCTAACATATACAGATATTAAAAAAAATACAAAATATGCTTTCATGATGGAATAATTTTTTATGCCGATTTTTCCTTCAAAAGGAATCATAATTGTATTTTTTAAAAGTTTTTCAGACTTACGATTTTTTTGGTGGAGGAATAAAAAAATTTTTTCTTGGTACATTTCGTCGGTAATAATTAGGGGAAAAGTGGAAATGGATGTTAAGTATCGAGAACGTATTGTTGGATTGGAATAGTTGACGTTGGAATTGAGGACTGGCCACTAGTTAATACAGACGCCTATCAATAATCTGCCAAATCGATTGGCTTCTTCTTTCTGCCAGTGTCTGATCACTCTTTTTTTCCAGGGAAAGCCTTTTCTCTCTGTAATTCCATGCGGATTTAGGCGGAAGAAGGGACAGCACGCGATCAACTATTTCTTTACTCCCTTTTATATCAGTAAATTTGCACTTTGTCGCGAGTTGGCACTAGTCTTTCCGCCCAGCTTTGTTTTTTGTTTCTGTGTGTTATATCCCTTAATGGGAACGACAATGTAAGAATCGTCTGATGCCACGATTTCTGAGATGTTTAGGAATCTCTTAAAGATGGTCTTTAGTTTGAGAGTATCTACGAAAGCGTGTTTTCCTATGCCCTTTATCTCTAATCATCGTGATAAAAATTAAGTTCTGTAATAAATGCTTCAATCTCTGCCTCTTCCTAGATTGGGAGCTTTGGGCATCCTACGCGAGTCTTGAAAGCGTGCAAGGATACATGTGATGATAGTATTGGTAGCGACGTTTTGTAGTAATACATTTGCTGCCCATTAGTGAGACGATAAGCATGAGGCGATAAAAATTTTCAACCAAGCCACACAGAAACAAGAATTAAGGGTAAACAACGCAATCAGATGAGAATTTGATCATACCAAGAAAGTGAACCACCAAAATCCGTATGGACTTATAAGGAGTCCCCAGAAAAGGCGATAGACATTGGCGGAATGAGGAAAAAATCAATATGGCTAGCTTACCGATGAATGCTGTAACTGATACGTCAGCTATTACAAATGGTCAGTTCACATGATAGTTATCATCTTCCAGTATGTCTTCAATGCCAACGTCAGCCATTTCATCAAGACTTCCAACAACAAGTTTGATAACATCTAACAGATGAAAGAGGATGACAAAGGAATACAAGTATATAAATAACTTGTTGAACGAATTGATTTGGACTGCATAAATCTGTCGATATGTAGCATACGCGTTTATTCGGCTTGGACTAAAAAAATATAATAAATTGTTCTATCTACATATATAATTAAAAAAATTATCTTTACAGTAGATATGAGAGATCTGCAATGACTGGCCCTTCGCAAGTTACCCAACCCAGCCCGCAAATATTATAAGGTAGGGGATAGTCAGTTATAATTTTAATTTTCTGAATGTCAATCGAGTCTTATATCTCTTCCCTATGGCTATTTTTTTTTACTAAAACATAAATCAACGTCATTAGACGGCTCTTAAAAAAATACAAAGAAATTAAGCACATTATAATTGATTTTTTTTTCAAACGGTATTTAAATACCGGGGCTTTTGCGAGTCCCATATCTAATTTTTTAACTGTCATAAATTACTCGGCCCTGCCCGTCAAATTTTTTTCTGTACTAGCCTCACTCGCCGTCATAAAGGGGGGGGGGGGGTAAGGACCTTTACGATCTCTTAGAGGTAGAATGGTTTAATTATTCTATAATATACTTTGGCGTAATCCATCAGATTTTGAAACTCCATCATATTACCTCCTCCTATGACGCATACGTAGACGTTTGAATAGGCGTTATTCCTAGCAGCATTGCCGGAATTGCTTTTTGGTGATGGGGGTGGGAGGGGAAATAAAGACAGAAAGCGGTATTATATAAATTCAAGATTGTATCGAACTTAATTACGCGGAAAATCTGATTTATTTTATTATTAGTTTTCCGATTTTAAATTTTGATTGGATAGTTTTTATCATTAGAAAATGGGTAGCTTAAAATATAATTATTGCTATCTCAGTTTTATAGAAGAAGAGAAAAAAATTATTTTTTAAGGATCTAATATTCATTGACATAAAATAATACCTAAACAGACGACGCATTCATAATAATGCAGTTGAAAGCGTCGTTGAATGCAAATCAGCTGGACCCGCCATTTTGGTAACCCATATGGTAATTATTCTCATGATAAAAACTACTATTAAATTGATAACTCGTTTGCTTATTATCTCGATGAATCAAGCAATTCTTTAATAAAGTTTGCGTCAGACAATAGGAATAAATTGGGCTCTCGTTCATATTTTTTTTATAATGATAATGAGTAACCAAAATGGCGTCTCCAGCTGTTTTTCATTTGATGCACACTTGTAAAAGAATGCGTCGTCAGTCTAGTTATTATTATATGTCATTACTGTCGTAATATTCAATTTCGTAATATTAGTCGGTAACTTAATTGTAGTAATACTTAAGTCATCTTGATAAATATAGATATAATAATATATATAACAAACATTTATGATTGATTGACAATCTTCCGTCAACCACAACAAATGCCTCATATTATAAACTAACCCTTTTCTTTCTTACTTAAAAATATGAATATTATACCGCGCCAAATATTCAACTGCGAAAAAAACTGGGACTTTGGGATGAAAATAATACAAATAAAAACTGTATAATTAATCGATTACCTATATTATAATTAATATAATAAAATTTTAACCAAAGGAGAAGACAAAATTTTTGGCGGGAATATTTCCTACGTGTCAATCAATTTTATTTATAAAAATTTTAAGCGATATCTTGTTCCTCTAAAAAAAAATTTTTTTTAATTTAAAAAAAAATGAAAAACTCTGATCCAGAGTATCCTAGATTGGCTTTTAGGATCTTGGGATCATTGCACACGAACGAATCGTAAGCGGCACTGTCGTTCGCATTTGATTGGATATTGCAGGAGGCGCTGAAATTGGAAAGGTTCAATGGTAGAGCGTTGGAGGAAGCGTTTTTTTCGGTTAATTTATCGACTAACCTGGTTAGCGGTAATTTCTAAAAAAAATTATAACGATTTTTTTTAGCTCTTTTACAACTAGTGTAGAGCAATGAACGTATAATAATACCTAGACTGACGATGCGTTCGTTACAAGTGTACATCAATGAAAAACAGCTGGGGACGCCATTTTGGTTACCCCTATCATTATAAAAAAAATTTAAACTAGAGCCCTAATTTATTCCTAGAATTGCCTGATCATCGAGATAACAAGGAAGCAAGTTATCAATATAATAGTAGTTTTTAACATGAGAATAATTACTATGTGGGTTACCAAAATGGCGGGTCCAGCTGATTTGCATTCAACGACCCTTTTAAAATGCATTATCATGAATACATCGTCAGTCTAGGCATCATTATATGCCATTAACTCGAGTACAAAGAACTGGCAGTCTCTTATTTTCGAACCCGAGACGATTCAAATGTATGGGTGCCAGTCCTGCTTTCAGAATGCATCGTCAGTCTAGGTATCATTATATGTCACTGGATTGGACACGTAACTGGCAGTATGGTTTGGAACATCTGTTTGCCCAAAATCTCGAGGCTTACATAATATTATTATAACTAAAATCTTACGGGTCGTTTTCAAAAATCGACCTACATCGGCTTTTTAACAATAAATATAACTTTTAAAATATGAGGAATGTGTCTAGTTTGCATTATTGTTTAAAAAGACATTTAAAATCATGTTAGCATAACTCGACCCCGAACCCCGATTATCATCAAATTTTGAAAGAAAAAAAATTACATGCTGTTTAACCACGAAATTCTGTACACCCTCCATGACAAACTGTGAGCCCTGGCTCATGAGTTTGGAGAACATGCCGATCTTTTTGGCAAAACCCTGATTAGAATCGGTCGAAGTATCCTTGCCTCCGTAATTAGTCCTACCGTAATCGCTAGAATTCGAGATTTGGTTGGATGGATTTATGTTGGATAGGTTCCTTTAAAATATGGTTACGAATGATTATACCGATTAGGGGTCTGCCAATAGGCGGAATTACCAGTGGCTATTTCATTCAGAAAATTACACAAAAAAAAATTAAAGATTGTTCTTAAATATTCAAAATAATAAATTGAAGTCAAATATTGATGTTATATTTATTGTTGACCACTTTTCCTTGATGTTAATGAACCTTAACCACCATTCTTGATTGGTCATCATATTTATTGATAAAATTGATGAGTATATACGCAAAATTTCTTTTCTCACTTTAATTTGTCGAGATAACCCAAGCAAGCTTGAGCGTATGTCCGAGCTGAGCACTGCTTATTACCGGCACTAGAGAATTCCAATGTAGATTCGTTGAAGATGTTCAAATACTTTTCCATGTCGGACTATATATGAATAAAAAAAGTGATTTAAATAAAGCATTTCCGGTTAGTGAAGATCGAAGCCAGACAGTTCGTAAAATCGATGGAGTTCGTGTTCGGTTATTTGATTGGATAAAAAAATAATGCATTATTTTCTTGTAAGGTTTTGATTGGACCGTTCTGGAAATCAATAGGATCTAGTCGGATCCGATCCGCCCGGCCAGAACCGTTGATATTCGCCTATTTCCGGTCAATAAAATATTTCTTATCATTCCAAAAAAACCCATTTTTTTTAAGCAGAAGTTTTAAGAGGTATTTATAAAGATACAAGACAAATCATTTTAAGGATACTACCTTCAGAAATTAGCACTGTAATTATAATTGAGATGGATGTATGCCAGTTGTACTATATCTTAGACCGACATTTTATAAGATTCTTATATATAAAATCATTGGTCCTGATCATTTATCGCATTTTCCTTATTTAAAAACATATGCAATATATTTGTTTTACACGAATTGATTTCTTTACCTGAGGAATGTATTGGCACAGATAAGCTATAAGGAACAGCCTAATTTTGTCCCACGCGTTTCCGTTGGCGGAATCACTCAGGAATTCGAACAAGCTTGGATCCTGTATACAACAACAAAATTAAGTCATTTATCGTATGATTTTCCATTTCCATTCCCCTTCTCTTTTTAATTCACTTTAATTTTGTTAGGTTTAAACCTTAGGTTAAATTAAGGAGAATATGGATCCGGAGGCGCTATTAAAAAAAAAATAATTGCAGATTACCATTTACTAGGAATTGAGGTAAATTTTTAGGGAAATGTGGCATAATGTCAAAACCTCATTTGACAGCCAAGTCCAGTTGGTGAGAGCGACCAATAATTAGCCTCGCTTTACCCCTATTATGAGAGATTCTTGGGGTTTATTCTTCTTTCCCCAGAGATCGTTTTTTTTCGGGCTTTTCTTTTCGATTCTGATTCGTTTACAATATCGAAAGAAATTAAATTCCTTGATTCAAGTTCCCCCACCCCCACCCCCCCCCCTTAATAGGTAGTTTCCATCTTTTCCTTCCCAGAAGCTATCCTTTAACAAAAAAACAATGGAACATATGACTTCGTCCGAGGACGCGGTTGATCTTCAATCTTATGAACGGCTTCTCGATCATTCTCGGTATTTCGCCTAGTCTTTTGCTCTAAAATAGAGCGAAATTCATGGGTAACTATACATGTGGTAGAATATAACTGATTTACATATCGAAGTTTCCACTATACCCCGATCTCTATCACCCCGTTCGATATGCACGCAACGTTACAAATTTGAAAAGGGATAAAAACATACAGTTTTTTTCAAAGATAAAAAACATATTATAAAATGTGTTTTTTTTAAAAAAAAAACCAAATAAGAGGCCTTGGCCAGAATCTTTTCCTCGATCTCGAAAAATTGGTCTAATTTGCGACTCTTCACCCTAGCGAGTATGTCGGTGGCGATATTCGTGTGCATGTCCAAATATTTCTTGGTTTCGAGTAACTGCGGCAGAGAACTGAATCCGATAGTAAATAAAATATTTTTTTTTTAAGTTTCAAAAAATGATCTTAAAAATTTTTTTTAGGCGGCCCAAGTCAAGACCAATGGTCCGTTATACCCCATGGTCCGATTACTCATCCACGTGATCATAAATAAAATAATTCTATTTCCTCGTCTTCTCTAGTCAAGGGTTCAGCGATTACGACTTTATTTATTAATATTCTTTAATATGCTTATTTCGGGATTTTTATTTTTTTGTATATAACGCTATCTATTATATTACAAAAATTTATATATTCATTCAAAAATCATATTCCTTGAGGATAAAAAAAAATATTGTTTAGAATCATCCAATCGATAAGTAAATAAATTACGTCATCTCCCAAAAAATAACAATAAGGGGAGTTTTTTTATTTGTTATTATTATTAAAGTGAAGAAATAGAATGCCTTAATAGAGACAAAGATAGCAAAAAGGTAAGGAGCCATGTTTTTAGAGATGACAAAGATGATTCATTTAGATGTGTGTCAATCGAAATATCAGCTGATGACAAACAATTTTGGTTTCCCGTATAAATAATTTACACTTTATATTTTACGAAACTTTTTTACAAAAAAAAATCAGTTTTATTTAAGCGGTGTCCTAAATATATTGATAAAAAAAACTTCCAAATTTATAAATTTTCGCAAATTAATAAAATTATAAAACATGTTCGAACTCTTTCATTTTAAGTTTTGTAAAAAATCGAAATAAAGAAAAACGAAAAAAAAACAAAAGAAAAAAAACACAACCAAAAAAACAAGAATAAAATACGAAAAATAAAAAAACATCAAACGCTTTAATATTACTTACTAGCAATTATATGTAATAATACCTAGATACACTCATTAAAGGTCAAATGAAAACGGCTGGGGATGCCATTTTGATTACCCATATCATTATTTAAAAATTATTAAACGAGTGGTCAATTTATTGCTATATTTGACGCAAACTTTATTAAAAGAATTGCCTGATTATTGAGGATAATAAGGAAGCAAGTTAATCAATTTAATAGTGATTTTTCAGCAAGAGAATGATTACCATATGGGTTATCAAAATGGCGGGCCCAGCTGATTTGCATTCAACCGACGCTCTCAAAATGCATTATTATGAATGCGTCGACAGTCTAGGTATTATTATTATATGCAATTGCTTACTACATAAATTTTTTTGTAAATGAGGAAAAATGTTTTATAAACACTATTCTATTTTTAAATTAAAAATAGCTTACGTTTTTTTTATATACTAGAAACCAAAAATGGCGTGTAACCAGCTGATTTGTAACGCTTCAAAATGGGTTTTAAATTTGAATGAAATGGTCAGGTTAGGTGAGTATTACAATGTCATTGGACACGTCAAATAAAATAAATTCTAAAAACAGTTCGAATTTTTTTTTTTGGATTTATTTCTCTCCACCAATAGAAACATGACAATATTTCAGATACAAAGTCGCCATATTTTTAAAATTTACTTCACGACGTTAGAGAGAGCGCTCGTGTTCCCGGATAGAATGTCCATCAACACTTCCTCATTTTGGTGCTCACTTGGATCTTGCCCATTTTGGTCGGGGCTAGATTGACCATCGGACGTCATGTGCTTTAACCTCCTGATCTCCCCTTCTTTGCTCTTGTAATTTTCTAGCTCCGTCTGAATCGCTTCGGCCACCGCCGGAAATGGACTAATTTTTAAAAAAAAGCAATAATAAATTTAAATATATTCAAAAAAAATTATTCCTAAAAAAAAAGGCGCGAGATTCAGACAAATACAAAAGTATCGAAAATAAGTAAATCGAAAAAAAATATTCTATCCCAAATCCAATCTCCACCCCATATTGACCCCGCTTGAATCACGTGCTCATTTTATATTTCCAAATTGTCCGAGTTTCGGATTAAATAAAAAATCAATAATAAATTTGAATATATTCAAAAAAAATTATCCCCAAAATAAGGGCGCGAGATTTAATAAATACAAAAGTATCGAAAATACGTAAATCGAAAAGAAAAAAAATTCTAACCCAATCCAATCCCCACCCCATATTTATCTCCGATTGAATCACGTGCTTATTTTAAATTTACAAATTTTCAGAGTTTAGGATCAAATATAAAAAAAACAATAATTTTCCCGGTTGATTTTTGGTTTGCTACATATCTCTAAAAAATAGTAGAGTAATCCTAATCAATCTAAATATTGATAGCCAAAGATATTTGTGATGCGCGCGGGCTGGCCCAGAATTAAATTCGAACCAAACCAATCACAGATTGGCTAGAAAACAGATTATTTGTTCTTAATGTTTTAAATTATCTTGCGATTCTATTGGGTGGTTTTAGCCAATAACCAGGGTTACGGAATAGACCTGCCATATTCAAAAAGAGTTTGCGTGGAACTTTAAAAAAGGCGGGATAAAGTGGGACAAATGCGATCACATGTTTATATAAGTAACGGTAAATTTACTAATATATCGATCTCCATTTGAATAATACGCATATTTTACGAATTCAAATTATATACATGAAATAAATAAAAATTTTCTACATATTTATCGAAAGGAGTCATTTTATTTTAAAAGGAATATTGCTTGATTAGAGTTTTAAAAAAATTGCGTCCATTTGTTTTGTCAAGATAAACCCTGATCAAATCTCCATTTAAGATCAGAATAAATTCTCCAAAAACATATGATCGATATTTACATTGTTTAAATTTAAAGCTATCTACAATTCATTTAAAAATTTTTCGAACTTGATTTGTAATCGTTCAAAGGTCATAACTTAAAAATTTTCTGAAGCTCTTTATATTTCTTACTTTCTTTCTTTCTTTCTTTCTTTCTTGCTTTCTTTCTTTCTGGGGTTCTCTTTACTTTCAAAAATAATGATAAATAAATTAAGAAAGAAAGAAAGAAAGTCGACATTTGTCCATATCAGAACACTTGTTTAATGAAGAAGATTTTAAAAATTGAACCATAAATTCCTCCATGCTGATATTGAGGCTCTATTATGGAAATCGTATTTTTCCATAATTAAATTATAAATCGATCATTTATAAACTTCATTTAGAATCAATCATTTACATTATTTTATCTAAATGGGCCGCATACAGTTAAAGATCAAGCCGAGATAGGCTTTTTTGCTAATCCTTCTCCGAAAAAAATAATTTTTGTTTTTTAAAGGTTCTAAAATGTTTATCAAGTCTTTCTAGCCGGAAACGAGAAAAAGCCATCTTGTGGTGACGTATTTCACGAGATTTACCCATTCAAATTAGAGATCTGAAAAAGTAGGCCCGGGCCGGGCCTAATATTTTTTTAAGAAAATTCGGGCCGGGCCGGGTCGGGCCTTAAAAATTTTTTAAAATATATCTTAAATTTATCAATTTTACGATAAATTTTTTATGTAAAATAAAAATATGCGATTTTATTTATAGAAAGTAGACGCCATATAAACATATATCGTTTATTTCGAGTAATTATAAGAATTAATTTCTATATTTAAATAAATGGCTAATTCAAATATCATATGCATTCGTAATTTATTTAATACCTTATTTGTTCGATCTATTAAATTCCTTTATAAAACTTCGCCTTTATTGATGCGTGACACTTGGCTACTCGAACTTATTTTTATCATCATCTAAATGTACGATTCGATCCTAACATTTTTATGCTCATATCAAAATTTAACAAAAAAAACAACAACAACAGATATTTTAATAAAATGCGAATGAAATATATAACTGTTTTTTTCGGGGATTATTTAATTTTCTTAAAATTCGCTGGATATTTTGGTCGGGTTACTTTTTCGCGGGACAGAAAATCATTTAGGTAGAACTGTGCAACAAGCAAAGCGGGACGTATGGCGGGTCTAGTCGCGAATCCAAATCAGGGTTCAAAAATTTGTTTGATTCGGGCTTTTTAAGGCCTACTGACCAAACAGAGATCGATTTTATGGGCAACCCATAGAGCCCGGGGTATCATGGACCCGGGGCGGGTGGTTCAGATATCTTTCAGAAAATCGGTTTAGATTAAGTTTATGTTATCAAATTTCTTGCTAAAATAGAGTTAATTCCTGAACCATATTCGGGCACTCGAGATGAAAAAAAAATAGAGATTTTATATTCAAAGCATATATTTTTTTTGAAAACCTTCCTTTGTGTTCCCTCCAGAATTTATCTTTGCCAAAATACAAATCGTAGACTTTGGCGGTGGGATTATCTCGCTTACCCTTCACGACGTTAGCGGCTTCGTCATCGATGACAATCTTATTTAGATCGTATTCCTGCCAATAAAAAAAAAAGAGAAGAAATACATAACCAATCACGGTATACAAGTCAATCAAATTTAGCGTTTTTATCGAGAGAGTAACGTAGTACTACATCTCGAAAACTTCATTTAAGGAGTCATATCTTATAATTATGGTTAAATAAAGTCTCCTGTCGTTTTTCCTGAAAATCGAAAGATTTTATCCTTGGTCCTTATCCATTCATTAGCATTGTAAGTGTGTAATCTTCTCCCTGGACGCGTATAACTCCACGGTTAAAGGGGAATTATATGAAGTGTTTTACCTCGTAGAAGTGAATGGAAGGTTAACCTCTTCGCAACTCTAGCCAAAGTCTGACTACTCAAATGAGCATCTAGAAATAAATAATACATGTGCTCCCAAGAGCCCATTATAGGATCAAATAGTGACCGCTTAGCGTGATAGCAAGTCACATTTCTCCAATTATTTAAATTTAACACTTACCTAATCATGTATAAATGAGTACAATAGAAATGACCAATTTTTTTTCAAATCAAATTTTCGTATTACGAATATATCCTGAATCAAGGCTTGATAAGTCCAGGTATGAGCGAACGGGGTAACTAGGTCCATGCATCTATCCACGATTAACAAGCAACACCTCGAGGAAAAACTTAAAAAATTTTTTTTTTCAAAATAACATATTAGTTGTTAATTAGGAGTATATATATATTCTCTATAAGTTAGGTTACCTAAAAAAAAATATATATATTTTTCACTTTTGGGCCATAGCGAATGAGTTAATGTCGCCTCCCATGTGGGAACCCAGGTTCCCGCTGGCCGTGAACAGATTATTTTTCGTGTCCTTGAGGTTGTCCTGAATCTTTTTGTGCAGCCTTTCACCCACGAATCGAGCCGCGTTGTTTAGCTTGGGGTAATATATGACCGGTACTTGCACTTTTGTAAGGGGGAAAAAAATTGTTGTCGTTTTATAAAGGGTGATTGAAATGCGATAATTATTCGATAATTTTAACCACCCCATAGCCCGGGGTCGGGCTGGGGGGGAGTGAATCGGGTGGGGTTAGGGGTAGCGCGAGAAATATGGTGGGATTCGTAGGAAAATTAAGGTGTGTTAAATTTATAAAAAAAAAATATCGCAAATTTCTTTTTTCTTTCTTTCTTTCTTTCGTTCCTTGGGCGATCGATACATAATACCAATAGGAGGGGGGAGGGTTTGAATTTGAGAAAAAAATGAACGATGAACACGTGACTTAAAAATTTAAACAAAATAAGTATTCATTTAACCTAAGGATGTAAAAACGCAAAATAGATTGTCGACGTATTTATTCACGATGCCCTCCATCTCGGCATCATCGGCCATCTGATAATTCAAATCTACAAGTATAGTAAAAAAAAAAAAGAAGAAATTATATTCCCTCATCATTAAATATCGTGGCTCGAGAATTAGAATATTCTATCTCCAACTTTTTGTAATTTTAAAATTTTCATAAATCCCCAAGCAAGCAGAGTTGTTAAAGTAGCGCGCTATCTTTTTTGGTAGCTATAGCTAATAGCCGCTACTTTTTTTTTGATTATTTAATTTTTTAGCGCGCTACTTCGCTACTTTTAAAAAATATAATGAATGTAAGTATAAACATGAAAATTTAAATATAATATCATAATTAATTATAATTTTTATAATTTATTATTTAATTTTGAAATTTAAATATATTTTCAATTTTTAATTTATATTTTCAATCTGTGTTAATAATCTAAAATGGCATCGCCCATGGATATCCAAATCCTTGAAAGTGATTCAGACATGGAAGATTCAATGGAAGAAAATGTACTTAATAGCTCTAATAACGATTTCCCATTCCCTAGATTTGAAAAAAATTTTAAAATAAATATTAAAACAAAATCTGGATTCAAATTCCTGTGCTTAAAATGTAAAAAAATATATCATCAAATCAATCGAGTAGCTATAACCTGAAGAAACACCTAAAGGTAAATTGTTATTTTTACATTATAATATTATTTATTTTATTACTGTTCACGCCAATTGCTATAAGGAAATAGAGAAACATACAAAAAATTTTGGTATAGGAGAATCTTTATTCATAAAGGCAATACTATCCAAACCAAATTTACTGATAATAAACATGCCAATATTTCACAAAAATTGTCTGATAAAGTAACTGTTGATTTTATTGCCAATATTTCACAAAAATTGGCTGATAAAGTAATTGTTGATTTTATTATTGACACAGTTCAGCCATTGTCCTTGGTTGATAATCCATCATTTACTATGATGATTAAAACTTTATCCCCTGGCACAACAGTTTTATGTCGCCAGACACTTATGAATAAAATAGCCAACAACTTCAAAGTGATGAAAGATGCTCTAATAGTAGAGTTATCAGATATATTTTATGTATGTACCACGGCAGATAGTTGGACACATAACAGAAGGTAAAAACTTATTTATACTTATAAATTGATCTGATTAAATATTTTTAGAGCTTATTTGGGAATCACAGGCCATTGGTTAGACCCTAGGACTTTAAAAAGAAGATATTTTAGTAATATTATGATTATCATAATTTATATCAAATTATAAATAAAATTAGTGAAATTAACTAATAAAATATAAAACAGAGGTGGATTATTTCATTAATTTTTATTGTACAGTGTCATTGAGCTAATCTAACATTTAATAAGATATGGTTATTGAATATTTCATGGATGATTAAATTTTTGCTATATTTATTTCTTATTGATTAATTGCCATCAATTTATATACAGTACAGGGAATTCATTCAATGTATTCATTTGATAAAATATTTTTGCTTAGTTACATTATAATTCCTGAGGTTCAAAATTTAGAATACTAAGAAATAATTTTTCCACGCCATTTTTGATAAATATTACTAGACATTTTTATTAAAACTGGATGAATAATTTAATTTGTCCTACTTAATATGAATATAGAATATTTGGTGAGGATAATGCTGAAGATGAGATATAGAATGATAGTCAACATGTATTGGAAGAGGAGGAAATAGGTGTTGATGCCAATGATATTAATGAGATCTTAGAAGAGTTTCCCTTGAAATTTTGGAAGGTGAGGATAATATGGAGATGGGGTATTATGTTCTCACTTTAAGTATCCTAAATACCAAATTAAAGAGATTGAATAATCTAATCTTATGCCAGCCCCTAGTAGACTCTCTGTTAAAAGGCATTGAGAGAAGGTATATAAAATTTATATTGTTAAGATTTTGACTGAAGATTTATTCTAACTTAATGTTTAAAGCTAAAAAATTTATAAAATTTTATGATTAAGATATATTTAAAATACCCTATTTTTGTAACTTTTAGATTCCCAAACTTATACAATGATGACAATGTCTTAGCGGCAATGTTTCATCCAAAGTTTAAACTAAACTGGCCATATATAAATTCCGATGATGCCAAACATCAACGCAATAGGCTAATGGCGAAGCTGAATAATCTTACACAAACATAGATTGTCGAGTATCTACCACGAAGACATCCTCAAATAATTTTTTTGAAATTAAAGATGATTTAATAGAAAATCCAATTGATCTTTTTTTTCAATCAAAAAATATTGAAATGAATATTTTTGATAATTTTTCATATATTAAAAATTTATATATAAAATTAAATACCCCCTTGCCCTCAAGTGCTAGTGTCGAGAGATTATTTAGTAAAGCAAAGCTTATACTTTCTGATCATCGCTCTAGACTTGGGGATGATAATATTGAAATGATATTATTATTAAAATGCAACAAATTAAAATAAATATTTATTTATATTGCTTATTTTTTTATAATCTAAACTAACTATATTTTTATATTTATAAATGTTGATTTTTATATATTATTTATTATACATTTACATTATAAGCAAAAAAAAAATAAAAAAAAATTGTTCCATTGTTTCTAAAAATTTTTTTTATAAAAAGTAGCTTAAGCTACTTTTGAAAAAATGTAGCTAATAGCACGCTACTTTTTTGTAGCACGCTACTTTTAAAAATAGCGTTTAACAACTCTGCAAGCAAGTGAGAAACGTCATATGTTTATTTTTTATATTAAATAATGAAAAAATAAATTGTCCTATATCGCCGTGTGGCCTAATTGGCGAGTGCGTTGGTCACGTATACGATAGATCCGGGTTCGAATCCAGCAAGGGACACGTTTTCTTTTCTGATGCCAACTTGGTGGTTCCATACTTGAGGGGGGGGGGGGGGTGATATTATGGTAGATTGGATTCGATCACGTGATTCCGTTAATATAGAAAATCAGCCATATTATATTTTGACAAAATTTGGTCACTGTTTAGTGAATAGTTTGGTGGTGCATTATCACCAGCCAAATTAATTTTAAAAAAATTTTTTTTTTCATAACAAATCAGGCGAAAGATTTTTTTTATGCAAATCAGATGGAAAAATTTGAGCAAAATATATGGAAGGCCTAAATTTTTATAAATTTATTTTTAAATTTTGGCATTTTTTTCTATATAAAACTAATTAGGGGTTGGGAAGGCCTAAAAAAACCCTTTCCAAAAATCTCCACAATGGTTCAGTCCATGTTAGTATTGAGTCATAGTCAGGAAAATGACTATGTATACTAAGGGATACAGCTCACTGAAATTTAAAGAAATAACCTAGAGTCAGTCAGTGTTGTTAAATGGCTCGATAAGAGTTCATTTTTGAAAATGGCAACTCAATGTTTTATTCAAAAAATATTATGCTGGCCTAAGATTTTGCTCATAGATGACACAAAGGTTTGGACATCTATTAATGATATCTCGAGGCTTAGGCAATATTATTCTGGCTAAAATATTGAGTTAGCTATTTTTAAAAATCGACTGAAATCTAGCCGTTTAACAACACTAGTTATAGTCATTTTTTTGTCTATTTAAGCAATAGCTTAGTCGAGAGTAAACCATTCCTCATCCTATATCTCTTAGTATATTAAAAGAAATCTACATACCATTTAAATTAATCTATATTAGAGGTCAGTGGAGATTACCCATAGGTTTTTTGGTTTGATAAAAAAAAATTGCCTAACCCAAGCCTATTAAATAATTTAAGGAATATAAAATAGTTTGGTAGAAGTTTCCCAGCTCAACCTGGAGTAATTTTTTATTATGGAAAGATAGGTAAATTTGTATAACGCTAAGATTTATAAAAATGTGAGAATTTTGTAATTTCCTTCCCACAAAATATTTTGTACATTAGTTCCAAAATAACAAAAATGATTTCATCCCAGATTTGTCAGCTTGGCCCAAAATCTTTCTCTCAAGCCAAACTGTAATCAATGTAGTATAATATTATATACAATACACTTTCTCATTTAATATATTTTTATACAAATATCAGAGGTAAAATTTAAATTGATTTTTTGGTTGAACTTTATTTGATTATTATATTAACTTACTATAAAAGGATGTAGGAGTAATCAAGGTATTCTTTGCATTGGATTTTCTTAATTCAGGATTTTTATTATTCTCTAGAATAACTAAATTATCTTCTAATGCAATAAAATTTAGATATTGATCATATACCTTATGATTTTTAAAAAAAATTAGGTAAATCTAAGTTTATCGTATTTACTTTAACAATAATATCAGTACAGCTATTTTTAACACATATAGCAGCTAATATATCCATATTGTGACGTGTTAGAGGTGAAATAAAATTCAGATAAAATTTTTCATATAAATACTCAGCACAATCCTTTAAAAAAATTACACAAATGATATAAAAGAAATAATAATGCACTTTGCCAATTCTTTCAATATTTTCTAAAGATGGATATACAAAATATATTGCTGGGGCATCTGGTACAGATTCTCTAAGTGAGTTTATATGTCTACATTTGTATGTAATGTAATTGATAATAAAATTAATTACAAATGTAAAGTTATTCCATATTCTCTCAGCTCTTTAATGGTAAAATGTGGAGATATGATATCATGTCCAATTTGGTCATAAACTAAAACCTATGCAGAATAATGTAAGAGTAGATTTTAGAGAATTTTACTTTCCAGCTAGTTTCATTCTTGTTATTAATGAATGGAACGTTAAAATTAAACATAGTTTTAAGGGCATCTTAATATGTAAAATGATATATGGAATCAAGATATAAAATAGCTAACCTATTTGCTTTTGTCTTATATTAGACATGCTCTAAATGATTTTCTGCGTAGAATTTAAACGCAGATGATTTGTTAGTGTCAAAAAGTAGAAATATTTTCCTTAATTTTTAAACATTATTTTTATTATAAAAAATTAATACTGGATAAATTTATTATTTCATAATGTACAATTTTAAATCCTTAAAATAAATACTTTTTAATTCATTATTACATGCCCCTAGATCAAGGATATTAATGGGGTATTGCTTAAAAACTTGGCAGTAATAGGAGGGGGGCTAAGATTATATGTTAAAATAAGATATATCGTCTTTACCATTCCAACAAAGCCTCGTAAGCATTATATTAAAATTGTATAGGAAAGATTAAAAAAAAACTATTTTACTGCTATTATAATTATTAAATATAATACTTAGTGATGTGCGAGGATTATGCTAATTTGATGTTGTACTAATATTATGCTTAACCATGATTTTATAATGTTAATTTTATGTTGTATTTAATTTGAGTTTAACAATGTGTTGATTATTCTAATTTTATGGTTTTGTTTTATTCATAATTTTGGAGAATATTATTAAGTGTTATGTTTCGTATAATTTGGTTGACTATGCAAATGTTGATAAAAAGATTACAATATATAATTTATTATATTAAAATAATTACTATACCTTTCAATTTTTGAAAAGAACTCTTATGTATTTTTTAACTTTAATTTTTTATAATTTTTACTATATTCTTTTAAAATGTTAATTTAGTATATTTTAAATTTATAATTTATTATTTTATAATTAATGGAGATGATTAAAGTAAAAAATAAATTTGGTTATTTTTTTCCAATTTTCATATCCTTCATTATTCAATCATTATTTATTTTTTATTTGATTCAGTTTTATCTTCTAAAATGGTGCTCAAAACCTCTCAATCTCATTAGAATGATTGTTAGAGAAAAATATTTACATATAAGACCTCCATACCTTTACGAGTTTTTTAAATAATGTGCATTTCTGATCAGTTACGTGATTATGATAATGTTAAAAATGTGATTCAAATTTTTTTTTTTTAAATGCAAGCAAATATTAGTGTGGTTAAATTGTTGATTGGGTCAGATTAGAATGATTTTTGGTTAGGTCTCTAATCGATAAAATCAACCAAAGCCAACTCGACCAAATGATGGGTCAATCTGGTCGACCAAATATATGGACCCGAACATTGACCTGAACATCTACCTGAGAACAACCAACACCAACTCAAACACCGGTCCAAGCACCGAGAGCATCCACCCAAGCATTAACCCGAATACCAATCCGAAACCAACTTAAAAATAAAATATTTATAATATTTTTTTAATATAAAATATTGGCTTATTTTCAAGCTGAAGAAAAAAAAAATTTTTTTTTTATTTTTTTTACTTATTGCCTTCTAACTGGCACCCAAATAGAATTTAATAATTAAAATACTAATAAAGAAATTATTTTATTTTAAGATTCTTATAAAAATTTGTTTTAACACTAATTTCATTTTTTAAGACAATACTACGAGTTGGTGAACAATTGAAATATATATAATTGAAATTGCTAAACAATTAATTTTTAATTTAGAAGAATCAAATAAAATTTCAGAAAAATCAAATTAGAATTTGGTACATAGATCTGCTCAATTTTTTTAAATATTTCTAATTATCTTTATAAAAATTTGTCAAGTGATAAGATAATTTTTTTTATTTATTTTTAATTTAATGGTTCGTAAAAATTTGATCAAAACTATCAAGATTCATAAGATTCTAAAAAGATATAATATTCCTATATGGATAGGATTACAATGTAATACCTAATAATAAATTTATGTTTTTAAATATAAAATACTTTTAAATTTTTTTATATCGTTTTACACATTGATCGGAGAATTTATTTATATAGATTTAATCCAATAAATAGATATTTTCTGAAATTTTTATTATTTATTGACATTCTGTAGTTCTTTATTAGTTTCAAACAAAAATTATAATAGTTGCCGAAATCCGAGTCCATATGAAATAAAAAAAAATTTAAATTAGGGAAATTGAAATATGTCTGTCCCACCTTTTTTGATGATGGCATTTCCTTAACTTTGTAGCAATTTTATTAAAATTATTTTGTTTATTCTAACACAATATACATATATACTTATTCATAAATATGAATAACGGATTCAATTCAAAATCATACAAAAAATAAAAATAAATATCAAAACTCAAAACTCAAAAGATAACATGGTTTAACAAATTTTTATGAAACAAATATTGTCTAAAGGTACATTTATTTAATCAAGTTCGTAATGGGGTTAGTTAATCGTAGTGTACTGAAGGATCTTTCTATCGATACTTGCGAGCAAGGATCAGTTAGAACTATTCGATAGAGGGTATTTGAAATTTTTTTTGGATAGCCAATATTGCAAAATATTATGATTGGAAGAATTAGTCTCATTTTTTGGATGATATATGAATTATAAATATCTAAGAATCGATAAATTCCTATGAATTTTTCCCGGTCTTAAAAGATAATTATTTCGAATTCAATGTTAATTATTTAATTAATATGGAATTGAAATATTCGTCCTCTATTTTTTAAATTAGGTTATCGATCCACCCACTCGAGTTTGCGACTCGATTTACTAGTGTAAAAATAAAAATTTTATAATAGTTTTATCTCAAGATAAGAACGTTTTCATGATATAAGAGCTTTGATTGCAAAGATGGTTCCATAATGGGGTATTTGATTTATATCATTAGCAACAGCATCATTGTATTGTGGGATTTGTGATGGAGAGGGAGAAATACTGATGGTGAGTGGAAACAGAGTGCGTATACTTGAACATCTAGATGCATTAGAGCAGTATAGTATGCCTCAAGGAAGGCAAAGGCCCTTATTTAGCATATGAGTTTGTAATCATTTTGGGTGATTTTGTAATTTTGGACCTTAAATTTATTTGATTGAAATGATTTTTAAGAATATGATATTATATTAAAGTGAATATAATTTTACTTTAAAAGATTTGTAACTGATTTATAATATGTTATGAGCTTAATATTAGCTTTAATACAAAAAAAAACAGCTGTAAGATAGATAATATTTATATTATTATTGTTTATATTAAAATAATTTAAATATTAATTACATAATTTATTTTAAAATAGTAAAATCTGTCTAATCTGTGAAAGTTGCATCTTTTAATATTTTTAAATCTCTCGCATCAAACTTATAGTGGCCATTTTGACACCCATTTTAGTTTATTTGCTTTTTAAAAATTTTATAATAGTAGTAATTGCGGACCAATGGTTAAAAAAGATTTTAGCCAATCAAATATTACCTCTAAATTTATTGATTTTGCCACAAGAGGGTCAAATTTTCCTGAAAAGTTTTGGCCACTTCTCGAGGAATAAGTAATAATGTTTGACTAAATTCCTGGCTCGGCCATTTTTTTTAGAAATTATTTAAATTGAAATTATTTTTAAATGGAATACATCAGTTTAATTTTTTTTAAGAATCGCGAACCAATTAAACACATTTTTTTAAAAAATTTGAATTTTACTTAAATTATATATAATCTAATATCATTCCAAGATAATTTTCTTAAGAAACATCCTTAAGATCTACAGCGACAATATTTTTTTAATTCTACAATTTGCATGCAAGCCGAATTGGTCTCGTAATAATCCAACGTCAATATCTCTGGGTCTTCGAAAATTCTGGATACATTTTGCTTGTCAAAAACTAATGTCGTTTCAAATACAGCTTCATTAACAAGTACTTTGAATACCAGTATGAACCCTTTTAACAAACCGAATATTTTGGATAGTAGAACTTTAGTGATTCTCGCATTTCCCGTTTTAGTAATATTGGTGTTTACATTTAACGTTGAGAGCATTTGAAAATCCTGAACATTAATTTTGTCATTTGCCACCAAAATTGTATTCATTATAGTATGCTGATTCAATTCATCTATTAAACAAATACTACTATAATTTGATAAGTCATCTTTCATCTTCTTAAGCACTAAATCGACACCGTATAAAATGAGCTTAGATATACCTATAGCAAGTTGGTCTACATCCGAAGAAACGTTTTTGAGCATTTGTGAAGGATTCAGCTTTATCCAATTGCACGGACAATAGTGATAAGGTATATTAGCCGATTCACATGTACGATCCTTTGGTATGGGTTGTAGCAAACTTATACCCCTGGTATTACCTATATCACTAGGGTATAATGTGTCTCCGGGATCATCTGTTACGGCCAATGGAACTTGTTCAATGTTTGATATCTCAAGCAAATCGAGCATTGTTTTATGGAAATCGAAGGGCGCTAATAGGCTACGCGTGTTGGCTTCGAATATGGTTTCATCTTGGTTATATTTGGCAAAGAAATTATCGGGAGAAATTGCTAGCAGGAAAGGCTTCCAACATTCCTGTTAACGATATTGGATAAATAAGGTAATAATAAAACAAGCACTATTTTAAAATCGTAAATTAACATAATATGAAAAGCATATAAACCATTCAATGTCTTTCTAAATGACCCAAACCTTAAACCGTGATCGCCGAATAGGAAGATAAAAGTATTCTTTAAGCGATGGCTCCCTAGATCCTTAAAATAATCAAATAAAAGGTTATCCACGTCATCTATTCCCCGTAGTTGTGGGTGAGTGTACCGAGTTAGAAAGTTAAGATTAAAATAGGGCTGGTTTGATCGTTCCATTTCCTTGATCAATTCCTTCGAATAATCCAACAACATTTCAACCTCATTTTTACCGTACACACAACAATAATCTTCCGACGATAGTTTGCTCATCGTATCTCTCAGTTCCAGCGTAAATGGTCTAAAATAAAAATGAGCAGGCGATTTATAAAATCCGTATTTGATATAATTCAAAGTCGACATAAAGGGTTCGTCTTCTAAGTAAATGCTAGAATAACCATGTTTTTCGTATTCGTACCATATCAAACTGATATTATCGAGATAGCTTCGCTCATCATTAGGAAATTCCCACGTATATT